TAATAATAACAATAACAATAATAATAATAATAATAATAATAATAATAATAATATAATAATATAATAATAATAATAATAATAATAATAATAATAATAATAACACAACAACAACAATAACAACAACAACAGCAATAACAAACAAAAAACAAAGACAAAATCAGAAGCCAAACCCACCTGGATCGTCACAAACACCACCGATTCTTGCAGAAAAGACTCATGTATGGGGCATTCTTTCGTCATTTCCCCCCAGCTGACTCCATTCCTTGCAGAACATGTTCGTGTCTTTACACTTGGAACCTGTTGGAATGGGTGGTTGGTAAGAGAAAATGAGGGGTATGGAGGTATAAAGATTTATGAGGGAATGGGGTGGGTGGGAGGGGTAGGAAGGTGTAAAGGTTTATGAGGGATTGGGGGGTGGGGGTAGGAGGTATAAAGATTTATGAGGGATTGGGGTGGGGGGGTATGAAGGTATAAAGGTTTATGAGGGATTGGGGGTGGGGTATGAAGGTATAAGATTTATGAGGGATTGTGGGGTGGGGTATGAAGGTATAAAGATTTATGAGGGATTGGGGGTATGAAGGTATAAAGATTATGAGGGATTGGGGTATGGGGATGAAGGTATAAAGATTTATGAGGGATTGGGGGGTATGAAGGTATAAAAGATTTATGAGGGATGGGGGGGGTATGAAGGTATAAAGATTTATGAGGATTGGGGGGTATGAAGTATAAAAGATTTATGAGGGATTGGGGGGTATGAAGGTATAAAGATTTATGAGGGATTGGGGGATAAGGGATTTATGAGGATTGGGGGGGGGGTATGAAGGTATAAAGATTTATGAGGGATTGGGGGGGTATGAAGTATAAAGATTTATGAGGGATGTTGGGGGTATGAAGGTATAAAGATTATGAGGGATTGGGGGATGAAGGTATAAAGATTTATGAGGGATTGGGGTGGGTGGGGGGTATGAGGTATAAAGATTTATGAGGGATTAGGGGGATTGGGTATGAAGGTATAAAGATTTATGAGGGATGGGGGTGGGGTGGAAGGTAAAGATTTATGAAGGGATAGGGGGGTAGGAAGGTATAAAGATTTATGAGGGATTGGGGGAGGGATGAAGGTATAAAGATTTATGAGGGATTGGGGGGGGGGGGGTATGAAGGGTATAAAGATTTATGAGGGATTAGGTGGGATGGGGTATGAAGGTATCAAGAATTTATAGGGATCGGGGGTGGGGTAGGAAGGTATAAAGATTATGAGGGATAGGGGGGTGGGGGTAGGAAGGTATAAGATTTATGAGGGATTGGGGTGGTGGGGGGGTATGAAGTATTAAAGATTTATGAGGGATTAGGTGGGGATGGGGTAGAGGTATAAAGATTTATGAGGGATCGGGGGGGTGGGGGTATGAAGGTATAAAAGATTTATGAGGGATTGGGGTGGGAAGGTATAAAGATTTATGAGGGATTGGGGGGGGTTGAAGGTATAAGATTGGAGGGATGGGGGGGGTATGAAGCGCGATTTATGAGGGATTGGGGGGGGGTATGAAGGCATAAAGATTTAGAGGGATGGGGGGTATGAAGGTATAAGGTTTATGAGGGATTGGGGGGGTATTGAAGGTATAAAGATTTTATGAGGGATGGGGGGGTTATGAAGGTATTATAGATTTATGAGGGATTGGGGGTATGGGGTATGAAGGTATAAAGATTTATGAGGGATTGGGGGGTGAAGGTATAAGATTTATGAGGGATTAGGGGGTGGGGTATGAAGGTATAAAGATTTATGGGATTGGAGGGGGGGTATAGGTTAAGGATTTATGAGGGATTGGGGGGGGTATGAAGGTATAAAAGATTTATGAGGATTGGGGGGGGTATGAAGGTATAAAGATTTATGAGGGATTGGGGGGGGGGGGGTATGGGATTATTGGGGGGGGTATGAAGGTATAAAGATTTATGAGGGATTGGGGGGTGGGGGGGTATAAGTATAAAGATTTATGAGGGATTGGGGGGGTAGAAAGGTATAAAGATTTATGAGGGATTGGGGGGTGGGTGAAGTATAAAGATTTAGGGGGGGATTGGGGGGTATAAAGGTATAAAGATTTATGAGGGATTGGGGGGTAGAAAGTATAAAGATTTATGAGGATTGGGGGGTATGAAGGTATAAAAGATTTATGAGGGATCGGGGGGTATGAAGGATAAAGATTTATGAGGGGGTGGGGGGTAGAAAGGTATAAAGATTTATGAGGGGATTCGAGATTTATAAATCGGTGGGGAAGGAATTGAAGATTTATGAGGGATTTGTAATAGGTCGTTGGGGAAGGAATTGGTATGGATGTGTTTTTTGTTTTGATAATTTTTGAGTTTTTTTATGACACTATTGGTAGATATACACAAGTAATACATGTACATATAGATAGATAGATAAACAAAACAGACAGAGACACAATGACAAACCGATAAATATATATAGACCGATAAACATGATTCTAAAAACCTCTCTCACTGT